GCATCATGCTGAGATATATGTCTTGTATCATTATAAAGTCGAGTTACACGTTTAGGTGAGTAGATGTTTAACGATAGAGCATGTTCAGTTGTGTTGTACTGTACTGTCTGGATCCAGATACCAGAATGGGTCGCTCTCGGACCGGCTCAGTTCCTTCTGGATTACTTAGACTATAAAACCAGTTGGAATCGTTTTCATGTTGTGCATTAGATGAGCTAGGAATGCATAGGGCTGTTGTTGTGAGTAATATTTTGCTCTCTCTCTCTCTCTCTATATATATATATATATATAATTTTATTTTAATTTTGTAAGCTCACCCTTACATTTCTGTCTATGTTGTTGTGTACATGTGTACTACAATGATCGTACGGTGGTATGTGAGCAGATGTAGCATGTGTTGCATCTACTTCACAGGTTGAGAGGCCAGTGGAATAATATTTTGTTTTTCGGCTAGAGTCGAGTTAGATGGATGGAGTCAAGTGATTTTACATTAAAGTCCTTTTTCCTTATATTTTGAGATCTTATGTAGAGGGAGTTATGTAGTAAAACTTTTGTGTATTTGAGTATTATGAATTAAATGTAATATTATGTTGTTTTATTGAATATTTGTTGTAAGAAACTTTGTTTATTTTGAATAAAAGCAAATTTTATACTTATATTCTCCGTTATTTATTTATCTCAAATAAGTAAGTGGTGTAAAAATAATATTCTTGATTCCTTATAAAAAAGAGTCGTGACTATTTTTACGTTAGATTTTTAAACTAAGATTATATAACAATGTTTATAAAATAATAGCTTCAATTTTAAAGGTTAAATTTAAATTTGAACAGTAAAAATCACAAATTTTTTTTAAAAAGTTATTATATAAAAAAAATATAAGAATGTAATTAATATAATTTTTTAATAAATATATTATTCTTAATATTATAATTAACAAAATTTTAATTTTATGAAGGTTCATAGGTAAAAGTTTGACGGTTTGTTAAAATGCTATTGATTCTATAATACTATTGAGGTGGAATTTAATTAATTGACAAGAAAACTGGGGAAAAGTGAGATAATTAGGTCTGTATTCTCTATAGGTAAATGCTCCTTAAAATTAGAACTGACTTCTTAGATAGATTTATATGGAACTGCTATGATCATTTGAACAGATTGGAGGCTCGCTTATATCATTCTGCTGATATCAGTTTGCACTAACAGCTTCTAGATATTTGCAGCTTATATACATTTTAAGTATATTTCATTAATTAGTATATGATGGATTATTAAACTTATCGTTAGCAGTCTGCTAGATTCAAATGTATAACCAAATAACATTTTCTTTTGGTTGTTTTTCAGTGTAAGATGATAAGTCTTGTCGACGGTAAAAATGGATATGCAACTTCAGCATCTGTTTCTTTTTATTATTATTATTAATTTTTTATGGCTGTAGTCATCCTTAACACTTTTGTATCAGTGAGCTAGCCACCAATCCAGTATTTTCGTGCATATTATAATGGAGGAAAAGAACTTTTAGAATTCACATGTATTATCTAATTGAGTTGCTGAAATCAATTTTTTACTTTTGTACTGTAGATTGTTAAATAAGGGATAGTAAATGATGTTCTTGGTTTTAATTTTATAATGTTTGTTGTGTCTTTAAATGATCACTTGTATAGGATTAAAATAAATTCACGTGACAGAGTTTTAAGTGCTGTAATAAATTTATTTCGTTCTTTCTCCCTTGTTCAGTACATACCAGGTTCGATCTCTACATGCATGTTGAATTTTCTTTTCTGCTGCATGTGTAGACAGCTGTTTCTTTTGTTTGTCTCCTTCACCCAAGAAGTTGACGCACTTCATTCATTTGTACTAGATGAATCAAAGCACAATGATTGCCGGTGTTTAATTTCTTCCAAAATTCTGTATTTTACGTATTTAGCACCAACAAAAAAATGGCTTAATGTTTTTTTGTTGTACTAGTGTTTATTTGCAGTTGTGTTTTATCAAATTGTAGAGACATAAACACTGTACCTGCGAGCTTAGGATTTCGGATTTGTGGGAACAATTACGAAATTGAACACTTTGTGAAAAAGGGATGAATTAAATGCCCAACTTTCACTTTATTTTCATGACCATTAGTCATTATCAGCCACAACTCTTTCAAATTATTAGTGGCTAACCGCCATCTTATACCTACCTACCTAAAACGTGACTCATAATTATGACCTTTTTTACATAGGATACCAACTAAATCTTTTATTTGAAGTTTTATTGATATTAAATTACCAATATAATTTCGAGAGAATTTATCATATTTTTAAATATTTAATAATTAATAAATTTTCACTTAAATTTTTATTTATTATCAAATAATAAATTTAGTTTATATATTATATGTAAAGGTTTATTTAAAAATAATCCTGACATTAATTTCAAATTAATGCTAAAAGACATCTGAAAGCGGTTCCACGTTAACTTAGAGATCATTTAAAACTATTATAAAATGTCACGTTATGCAAGTATGTTATATTTCACATAGCGATTAAATGTCAAGCTATAAAAGTGTGTTGTATTTTAAAAAGTAATTAAATAACAACTTTAAGAAGTAAAGATTAGAAAGGATTATAGTTAGAACTACTCTCTAATCTTCACTTTTGAGGGCAGTTTTATGTGGAACTAATCTCCAATCTTTATCTCTAAGAGCAATTTCATGTAACTCGCTCTCTAAAGTCAAGTTTCGAAAGTGATTTTAAAATTTAAAAAAATTGATGGTTTTTTAATTTCATCATATTATCATAAATTTGTTTATACATGATAGACCATAATTAATCATTCAAAAATATTTAGAAACATTTTAGTATCCAAATACAATTGGTATTCCAAATTTATAACTAATATATTATATCAGTATATGACATTCAATTGTTAAATTAAATCAAATTGAGAAAAATTTAATATCCCAAAATAACAACAAAATTGTACAAAAGAGGTAAGAATTAATACAATTACATTCAACCACAATGAATAATAAAACACAACCTATACAATTCCAATATGTCTTAAGTACATACATTTTGTTCATAAATAAAACATAAAAAATCTATTGTACCTAATGTTTTCTTCAGATATCTATAATATAGATATACACACATCTCCTTTTGAAAATGGTGGATTCTATTAGAAAAGGTTGGGAATCGGAACTCCAAAATATACTAAAGTCATAATAAAATATTCATAGTGTAAAGCATCTCTAATAAAAAAAATATAAATAACATCTACAATTGTTGCTATATGATTAATTTGGACACTTTATAGAAGTAAAAAAATAATATATATATATATATATATATATATATATATATGAATTGACACAAAATTATAGATATTGTAATAACTAAGATGGAAAAGGTTTTCTTTTTTAAATAAGCACTCGTTCAAATACATTCCAAGGTGCTTTAGTTAAATCAAACATATAAATATTTTTTTTATCATTTTCTTTCACTAATAGTTTGCAGTTTATATTGATTAATTTCTTTGGTTTACATTGTTTTTTTTTTTTAACAATTTTTCTAGTAGTTCTAAATTCATTTAGATTTTCCACATTTTTTGTTTGTTTGAAATAAACATCGCCTTTAGTATTTTCAAGTTCATAGTTTAGAATTTAATCCATGCATTAATTGTAATTTTCCTTGTTTGAAATTTTATAACTGACATAAAAAAACAAACACGTATAAAGGCAGTGTTGGAAAACGCTCATATTATAAAGGATAATATTTTTGAAATAATTATTGAATGTTGAAACACCGGAAATAAGTGGTAGAATGTTCAATAACTTGTTGAATACTTGACATGTCTCTCAGTGATTTCCGCTTGAACCTTTCATATATTTTTCTCTTTGGATGTATTTACGTAGAAGGAGGAAAAAAAGGAGTTCTAATATTAATATTCTACTAATACGTGCTGTATAACTCTAACATATATGTGTAAGAAAATTTTTTGTCTCCTCCCTTCTTCTCTTATTCTTTTCAAAATATAAAACTAAATATAATTTTTTTTCTTTTTCTAAATTTTCTTTCTTTCTTTCCAAAATATTAAACTAGTTATAAAAAAAAAATCTTCCACTCCACTCCGTTTCCCGTCCCAAATACAATGTAAGGAGCAGTTATATCGGTGATCAACATGAAAACAAATGTGTGGTTGTATTGACGTGGGTTTTTGCATTATTCTGTCTTTATCTTGTACCTCACGCAAACATTTTGACTTGAGAGGGGTTCTTGACGTACACTAACTAAATCAAATGACAAATTGTCATGTTAATGCATTTGAGTTTCATGTACAAGTAGACGTAAGCATTAGCGAGAGCAAAGTTTATTTAATAGGCGAGAAATTGTATGTGCCGGAATGGTTCACAAAACTTCATATAAAAAAGTCAAAATCTTCATAGCATCTAGATGACTAATTGGCATTTGTCACGATTTTAGTAACAACTGCCAATGTAATTAACTCGTTGTTTCTTGTTTCTGAAAGATCTTTTATTTTACCGAATTGAAGAATATACAAATACAACCAAAAATAATAAAGTACATCAAACTGCATAATTCGCGAATCTCCTCTGTCTAATTTTCTGTTATCAAAAGAACTAAAATGTAATTTTTATGACCTTCCAGGAAACAAAACAACTGAAGAAAAAATAAAATAAGGAATCATTATGAATGAACAAATACAGAAGAAAAAATTAATGAATTAACGAATAAATTGAACGAAATCTGTCTATTATAGGGGATTAATTATTTGGTTATGTTTTGAGAAAGCCTACAAATCAATCATTCTTCAACCACGAAATTGGTGATGTAGTGGTGGATGCGAAGCTGCAAAATAGTAAAAAAGATGTCAGGTTACCTATGAATTGAGCGTTTTTTTTTGTTTTTTCTTTTTTGTAAAGAGGATTCATGCATATATTCACCTAACAATAAGAGAAAGAGGAACTAGTTGAGAATAGAAACATACTCAAGAATCTATTTCCAGTAGGAACCGCTTGTTCCATCATCATCATCAATAAGGAACTTCTCCCAAGCCTCAAAGGTTGAGGAGGACATCTGTGCTGTGTTGAAGTTCCTATCAATTTGATTGAAGTTAATTGTCCTAGGACAGGATGCAACCAATGCAGGAAGCAAGTTTTCTGCTTGATTTTCTTGTAAGTTGATGCTGCTTTTGTTGTAACCAAGAACCCCCAGATTAGGTTCACCATGTGCTTGAGAGAATAAAAGACCGGGGTTGTTACCAGTAGGGTTTGCATATTCTTGACCTATCAAGATTGGCTCTTTAGTTTGGTCAATGCTTGTCCCTTTGATTAATGTAGGAAGTGGATTTAGATTTTGATTGCGCAAAAGGTAAGGGATACCCATGTTAATCAATGAAGTGTTTTTCATAAGTTGTAACATATTGTGTAGAAGTTGTAGTTTGGCTAATTGAGTGATATCTTCATGCAAGCTAAGAGGACTGTTCAAAGGACTCATTGAAGAGCCCAAGCCAAAATTTGACATGCAAAGCAACTGGGAAAGAAACTGGGAAAGACTCATAAGGTGATTGAAGGTAGTTTTTGGTTTGTGAGTTTCTGGATCAATACCCATCTGGAGAAGCTTCTTTCTTATGTTGGTGTTCCAATAATTCTTGATCTCGTTATCAGTTCTCCCTCGAAGATGGGAAGCAATCTTTGCCCACCTAGAACAACATCATAAGGAATATTAGTTTCAACTTAATTTGCTTCAGAACAAAAGCAAGAAAAAAAACACACACGCTTTTGAAGTGTTTCCAAGATAAAACACAAAACATGAGTAAGCAAGACACATGCATACTTGTTTCCAAGAACTGAATGAAGGTTGATGATCAATCGCTCCTCTTCTTCAGAGAATTTCCCTCTCTTAATATCCGGCCTTAGGTAGTTTTCCCACCTTAGCCTGCAGCTTTTCCCGCACCTGTTTAAACCTGCATGCTTCGGAAGTGTTCTCCACGTTCCACGGCCATGTTTTTTAATATAATCCATTAGTTTCTCATCTTCTTCTGGTGTCCATGGCCCTTTCTTTACACCACTGTCTTCACAGCATGGTGACCTACCCATAATGCAGAGGCACAATTAACGAATTCCAGGACAAAGAACAAATATTAAGTGCACGTTCTCAGGCTACGAGAGGGGTTGGAAAAAGCCTAGGTAGAAACTTGTGGATTTACAGGTGCATGGAGCTTGCATATTCAACAGATCAAGTCATGCATTACCTTCTGTTTAAATTAAGTTTAAGTAGTGGAGAATCTAAAAGGGAAACGTAGACAACTTGAAAAAACAAATATTCTAGTGATTATTTTGGTCCTTTTTGCTTTTCATTTATAAAACATTTTCTCGCGTGATAGAGGAAAACTAATCTTCTTGATACGCATCAATCTCAACTTGTATATTTTTTACATACATAACTTATCTCATTATATTACTTTCTTTTATTTTTTTTTTCTTACAAATTCATCTCCATTTGGATTGAAACTACAAGGATCTGAAATTATTTAATCTTTTTATTTTAGTTTCTTTTAACCCCCGGAAATAATTATATTGGAATAAAAAAATGAGATGATATTTTTTTTATAAACATAATTATTGCAATTCTTACAGAAAAACAAAAAAACAATTTTGTTATTAATTATTCAATTTTTCTAATGTATGTTTAAAGATATAAGTTAAAAAAACTAATAAATAATAGTTTTTTATTAAAAAATATAGTATTTAATATTATTAATATATTAGATATTGTGATATCTTAAAATTTTTATATATAAGTTTTTAGTATAGACTTTTATATATTTATTTTATTAATAATGATATGAATTATTTTATATTTGTATATTTTGGTATAGATATTATAAAATAAATTTTGAAAAAATATGATTTCTCTAAAAGTATTACTTAAAATACATTGTCATGAAATTAAACTCGGGATTAGGTAATCTAAGGGTGCTGGGTTCCGTTGAATTTCTTAAAAGGCGCCAATGGTTTGCAAGAAAGACTATGAATTCCATATATAATAAGCAAAATGCAGCTTTGACCATGAACAAGAAAAAATAAACAATTGTGGCTTTGACCATGTTCAACGTTTAGAAATTTCGATACGATCGAGACTCAAGGTGAAAAATACCGCTGTAGCCACTGAGTAGTTAGACCCATAATTTTAGCAAGATCTTTTAATAGAAGACGTCAGCGAACAATTTTAAGAAAATGGTTTACACCGATTATAAAAATTGCTTTTAAAGATATAAAAATAAATTTTTAATTAAAATATTTAATACACACTTGTATTTTAAATTTAACAAATACCTTTTTTATAGAGTTACATATTTTAGATATTTTAAATCAGAAAACTAATTTTTTTAATTTTACGATGTGAGTTTTCTTTACTTATTACTAGAAAGTGCCTTGTATATTGTACATATATATTTTTTTTATCTAAAAGATATAAATTAAATAATCAAACATAACGTTTTAAATATTTCTTAAATAACTGAAACCGAAAAGCAATAAGTATACAATAATTTACCATTTACTTGTGTAGGCAATCATATAACTCTAGCTATCACAACATTTGATGATATTAGGGTTAAGGTGAATCAATAAACTTAATTTGATGGGCTAAGACATATTATTCACGTTTAATCAAAGTCTGCAATGTAAATTATTCTCGGCGAAAAGATATAATATATATATATATATATATATATATATATATATATATAAATGACCAATTAATATCAAGTGTTAAACTTAATAAATGATATTTTAATTTTTTTATTAAAAATTAATTTTGTTAATTCAACTATTTAAATATTTGATATTATAGTCATAATCATTTGTATAAAATTTTAGATAATTAAGACATTTATAGATATATAATAAAATAATAAATATTTACTTATATTTTAAATAATATATCATATAGTTAAGTAATGTAGGAATAATAATATAGTTTGAAAGAGACTATCATTTTTAATCCCATCGCACCATCGAAATAATTTCAAAATTAAATAAATAATCTTATACCAAATTGTGAGATATTCTGACAAAAATACTAATTGTTAGACACGTTAAATGCCAAATGATATCTACATGCGGCGCAAACGTTGCCTAACACGATTATGAGAGAAGATATTTTTAAGAATCTCTTAATTTAGTTCCTATCATCCTAAAATAAAACCCCCAATTTTACCCCAAGATTTATCGTACAAAATCATAAATTTAGCTTGCTCTTCTATTCCATTAAATAGTAATGATTTAATTACCTATCACACAATTAACTTAGATATGAACAAGGTTGATGAAATATTAATATAAATTAAAGTAATACTATTAAATCAACTCCATTCAGAATTAAAAACAAATTATTTAAAAAAGACTTAAACCATATTTTAGAACATAAAACATATCATAGTCATAACTATAAATTTAGTTACAAATAGCAAAAATTAAATTTAAAATTAAAAAACAATCACATAGCAACTCTAAAGAAATACTGATAATTAGCCTCTTGCATTCTTGTGTCTCTTTACCAAGAGGAAGGAAAGGTAATGGATCCGAAAGGTAAAAGAGACGATGTGTGAATAAGAAAGACGAGTGATGATTTTGAGATTGTGATTTGTGTGTTATATGTGCTCCTTAACTTCTCTGTTTATATTACTTTTTTTCTCTCTTTCTTTTGTATTTCTATCTTTAGCTCCTCATTTTGTACGAATATTAGAGTAGCATTTATAATCAAAAGATAATTAAAAATCATTTAAAGTAATTTAGTCACATGTAGAAAAGATCACCAGAGGTATCAGTAAAAAAAAGTAGACAATCCTGTAAAAATGAATAGAGAAAGATTTATTGTTCTCCCAGATTACATAATAATAGAAGTTTTCAATTACTTAACTTTTTTTCTCTTCATATATTTTATAGTGTTTTAATTTCTACAAATAGAAATAAAAAGAAATAACAAATAAAATAAAAAAATTTAAATAACCAGACAAATGCTGAATTGAAACATTATATTATGATAAAACTAAAACCATGAATGAATTTAAAGCGATTTTACATTTTACAATTACCAACACGTCTAATCATTAGTCATTTTGTTATGTCATTCAGTTTGTTCTTGTAGATGTTGTTGTTGAAGGCTGACTAATTTGAAGTATGCTCCATCTGTATTCTCTACAAGACTTGAATGAGTGCCTCGCTCAGCTATCTTTCCATCCTCTAAAACAACTATTTGATCTGCATTTCTTATTGTGGATAGCCTATGTGCTACTATAATTGTTGTTCTATTCTGCATCAATTTGTCTAGAGCTTGTTGTACTACACGCTCTGACTCCACATCTAATGCACTGGTGGCTTCGTCTAGCAACAAGATTTTGGGGTTTTTCAAAATAGCCCTGGCAATAGCTACCCTTTGTTTTTGGCCACCAGATAGTTGAACTCCTCTCTCACCTACTTTGGTGGAGTAGCTGTCAGGAAGAGCACTAATAAAATTATGAGCATTGGCAAGTTTAGCTGCTTCCATCACTTCTGTTTCTGAGGCTCCTTCCTTTCCATAAAGAATGTTTTCATAAATTGATGTTGCAAAAAGAGTCGGTTCTTGTTGCACCAGACCAATTTGTTTCCTGAGGGATTTCAAATTTAGCTTCTTGATGTCTTTTCCTGTAAAAATTTTGTGAAACCACCATTAGAAGAATGTTTTCACATTTAAGATAAATAGAACATCGATGTTATATTAATACACATGTACTCAAGACAATGAACCGTTTCTAGAATTAGATACATATTCATGCCAATATAGTCTTGTGCATTTTAATTCTTGAAGAAATTATCATATATTCCTCTTCTTGTTTTGTATAACAATGGAATAAAACTAATTAAAACATAAGTAGTTCAAAGATCATACCATCAATCATCACCTTCCCCGATGTTGGATCATAAAATCTAAGTATAAGGGAGATGACTGAACTTTTACCACAACCACTATGCCCCACTAAGGCAATATTCTTTCCTGCAAGCACTTTCAGATTAAAATCACTAAAAATAACCACATCTGGCCTTGAAGGGTAGCTGAAATTAATTCTTTTTAGCTCAATTCTTCCTTCCACTGTCTTTAGCTCTTCTCCAACATCACTCAATATTCCTGTTTTTCTATCCATCACTTCAAAAACTGATGCCACCAATTGATTTCCTTTCAAAAGGTCAGGTGCTAGTGCCAAAGTCTCCCCCATAGCTAACGCTGTTACGATTAAAACCATAAATGACTTCATAATTGATTTAAAGCTAGAAAGCTCCTTCTCCATCAACACAGACCCATACCTGCAAAGGGTGTATAAGTCTCAATACAAACGTAATCCCCAGTGGAAAGAAAGGATGTAGAGGGGGTAAGCATGAGTAAGTCCCCTTCATAAATATTGTGCTAAAAATATATAGCTAGGCTCTACTTTTCTTAAATAAGAATTTTTGTATTCTCACAATTTATTAATATAATTATGTATGTTAAAGTTTGTTTTCTTTTGTCCCTTCCAATGGATGAGACATTTATACTATAATCAAAAGCGTATACCACAAGGCAAGGCCATAAGATGAGAAGATAAAGAACTGGGAAATGCCATAGAATATGCCAGCAATTTGGCCCCGTTTGAGTGAACGCTGGGAAGGCCCCACAAGCTCTTCGGCATAAAGATCAAGGACCTTCTGTTCAGCACAAAATGCAGTCACAGTGCGTATGTTACTCACAGCCTCGCCAGCCAACATGTTGGCTTTTAAATATGCTTTGCTCAAGTTGCCACCAAAGCCTTGCATGAATAGTTTCTGAAATGTTTGCACAAAGTCGTTAATACACAAACAACTGTACCACTCTGATAGTTGGTAATGTTGAAATATGGAGCAAGAGGAAACCTCACTAATGTGACCACTAATGATCAAAGGGTATGTGGCCAAGACAACAAGCGTTATCCTCCAATTCAACATGAAGGAAATAATAAATGCAGCAACAACAAGACCAACATTTTGCAAAAGAATTGTGGAACGATCAACTACTATAGTTTTTAACAATGTTGCATCAGTTTCTAAGCGTGATGAAAGCATAGAACTAGTGTTGCTTGCATCATCGAACCAACCTATTTCATTCTTCAAAATAGCTGCAGCAAATAAACAAGGGAAGTCAGTAAAAAAAATATATCATCAAGTCATAGGATATAATACCTATCTTATATTTTAGCTTTGTATATTTTAAAATCATTAGATGAAGATGAAATCAACCATTATTATTTCAATCCTTAAAAATGTTAACTAACTTGATCATTCACATAACATAATGGAAATTTCACAAATATTGAAATGTTAGTAATCCAAATAGGAAGATTAAAAGGAAACATTTCATAGGAGAAGAAGCACATGAAGGGTAGGACAAGTCATAATTAGTTTAATCATAATTACCAGAAAACATAGTTTCTCTCACACGAAGGGTTAATCTCTCTCCCATGATTCCAAAGGAAAAGTGTTCAATGACATAGGCAATGACACTTAAAATAGCTGCCCCACAGAAGAGGAGAGAAACTTTTTTTACTTCATGGCGTGTTGTATCCCAGTCCATGTAGTACGATACAAGAGCATGAGAGATTCCAAGAGCAAAAAGTGGCATATGAGCTCCCGCAATAAACGCACCCAAGGTTCCGAAAATTCCATAAAGCCAGTCAGGACCAATCATGGAAAATAGTCTTCTTGCTGGGACATGCCTTAAATTTCTAGCACTTTCCACTCCGTCAGCAAAAGCATGACTAGTAGAATCTTTATCTGAACGAAAACTACCACGGAAGCTTGTTGCATGGGATGACGATTCTCCTAAGTGCCTTATGTAAGAATCAAAAGAAAGATATAAATGAGTATTATGCAAATTGTATGTTAACCTAGTAGATCGTTTGTAAAAAGGTAACAAAAAGAAATGTGCATGAACTCACTATTTTTTATATATATACGCGTATTTAGTTTTCTACTTCAATAGAACCTTTCTGGCCTCATAATTTAATGGAATCACTGAATTTAGACAAATGAAGATAGTTTATTTTGATTTTGGTCTCTACATTATTATTTTTTGTTTTAGTTTTTTCTTTAAACAATATGCCAAAACACTTGTCCTTCGAAAACAAATTGGTAAGATTATTTTTTAGTACATTATAGGGACTAAACCTTAAATAAAATACAAATATGGGTACTAATTCAAAATTTGAGAGTATAGGAACAAAAAATAAATTCAAGAAAAATTTTATGGACCTCAAATGTATTTATTTAAACCAACAAGTGAGTATCAATTAGTACCAAAACTCTATTTTAACAAAGGAATGTCAATGGTATAAATTGATATTAGGTTATCTCCGTTTTGTTAATTAATTATAATAATTTAGGTCGACAGTCAAGAAGTACCTTGATGAACCTCCCAAGTAAGGATCCACAGAAGGGTGTCCTTGCAAAAAGGTTGATTCTTGGACTTGAGCAAGAGATGTATACACACTATTGGGGTTGGAAATGAGTTCCTCATGATTGCCAATTTCCACTACCTTCCCCCTCTCGATAACAGCAATGGTATTGGCATTCCTTACTGTAGAAAGTCTATGTGCCACTATCACAGTTGTTCTACCAACCATAACACGATCAAGAGCCTCTTGCACACTCTTCTCAGACTCTGCATCCAAAGAACTAGTTGCTTCATCTAATAAAAGGATTGATGGATTCTTAACTATGGCACGAGATATTGCAATCCTTTGTTTTTGTCCCCCTGATAACTGTATCCCTCTCTCACCAACCTGCAAAAGAAATTTAGTGAAGTACTACCTTTCTGAAGGAAAAGCATCCATGATATTTAACCTGATTTAATGTGTCACCCAAGTACACTACTCTAATCCTATTAATATTTTTGTTATTATTATTATCATTATTCAAATGAAAAATATCGCAAACAGAAAAGGAATCAACATCATGTCACCACACATATATTAAACATTGTAAGTCATCATAATCTAGTAGGTATCTAGCAAGTCGGCTGGCTCAGGGGATATGTGTGTGCTCACACAATCATTCAAACAAAACAAAAGATAAATTAGCCATGAAGATACCTCAAAGAACTTGAGGTTTTAACACCCGGGGCTGGATAATCAAAGAACTTATATTGTACTGTCTGAGTTTCAAGTATCATTTAGTTAGATAAAATTTGTAACTAGTATGTTAGGTTAGTTAGAAACTATTCTGTTATTTTGTTCCTTCAATTTCTCACTCTATCATTCTATAAATATATCATGTAAACATACTGATATATATATATCAACATATTAGTTCATAATGGAATTGCATTCCTCTTGTACAATTGAAAGCTCTCTCTTTCTACTCGTTACTTTGGATCGGTTCTAGCAACCATCTTCTGTGGAACTCAGATTCCTAAGACTATATGCGAAAAAAAGTCCTATCCAATGTAGTCTTTTTCCGAGAAAAAATGACATTTGATCTTTATATTTCAAGTACAATATTTGTCTTATCAGTTCTTCATGAACGTTGCTTAGTTATACGTAGAATTTTTATTCAAGGAACCGTAATTTCTTGTTCTATATAAGTTTCCAACTTAATTTAAGTATTTCTAGGCTACCAATATTTTTTTACAACCAACTCTAATTATAAAATTCCTAATGGAACCTTAGTCTAACCTTGCTAATAGATTTCTATTACTAATTTATTTACGTATGACCTTAATTTCTTTTCCATGCCATCAAGTGATTCCGAAGATTAATCAACAAACCAAGAATATACTGTTACATGCAGAGAGAAGAAGGCCAATAAAGATGCTGAGGTGGACACAAAAAAGGATAATAAACGTGCTGGGGGAGAAAGCAAGCAAAATGGAAAGTTAGTTAGAGGAGGTGGACACGTGGTAACAGACCTGAATATTGAGTGCATCAGGAGAAGCACTAGGCAGAGGAAACCAAATAAGAAGTGGGAGGAATTCATTGGAAAGGAGGGTTGATTCTGGTATAATCTCCTTCTGCTCATATTCTCTACTCTGCCTTTCCTCTTGCTATTCTCTTCTTCTATCTATCCTGGCCTCCTAATCTCATGGTCTAGCATGATATCGCAGGTGTAGAAGATCAATGGCGTAGTGATTACGGTCCATGCCATCCTTCCTTTGCCGCTATTTCTTATTCCTTCGATTGTTATATAGCATTACCTAGTTGTGGGTTTACGAATGTTATAGATTTGATACCTCTATTATGCTTCATTCTCATACTGACATATAGTCAATCACTTGATTGGTCATTAATTCATACACGTGAAGTATTACGTTAGATTAAATTCTGAAGTATAGGATTGTTGCATATACATTGAAAACTTGGAACATCAATTTCTAAACATTTTTCCAGCATCAAGAGAATCATCAACCATTCCCAATAAAATAATATAAGATGTCTCAAGAGCTTAAAATCCAGTAACCAACGTACTCCAAACATGCATCAATCGTGATCAATCGTAGAGAGGTAAGGCACATCTCATACATAAAGACCCAAGATGAATTTTCCTAGTCCAAGAACGTGGAATCCTCTTTCCCAACCTCTAGTGGCTCACGTTTTTGTTGTTAAGGAGAAGGGAAGAAGTGGAACTCTTGCTCCTAGTTTGGTCTTAGCCCACCAGCAACCAAAAATTGAAGGAAACTCACATAAAAAGCTTTAACAAGGGTGAATATACGTGAAAAACCATGCCATGTTTAGAGAGGAAGATAAGGAACTTACATGGAATGAACTCTCAAATCAAGCTATTTTACCACTACCGAGAAAAAAAAATAAGTATAAAAAAAAAGGACAAGATATATATGTTAGAATTTTCTTTAATCTATTATGTAATTTCTATTATGCAATGACTATTATGAAATTACTTTTTTTCCCTGTTGAGATCTTGAATTACGTTGTTCTCACAACACAATATATGATTCTTACACAATTAAGGGTTTAGAGAGTACTAACCTGAATCCATTGTTCTTTGATGTTACCTCTCTCTTTGATGTCGTTGATTCCTTGATATTTTCTCCAACTTTTCCTTCCTCTTTCAGCTCCTCTCGGATGGTTGAGAGAAAGTTCCTTTATACGTTTACCATGAGCTCACTTAAAAACCGTGAAAAGTGAGAAAATAGGGAATGCCGTAACCCTCATTTGGTAACCGCTCTTTAATTTATATAAAGGAAGAGGGGAGGGTTTCCTTATAATTATATTTACAATTATATCCTCAATGACTCTATATTTTATATTTAACCACCATCACATTAAATCATTAATTAGAGTCATGCTATAAGTTACATAGGCCACTATAACAAGATTATTAAAATAATCTAACAATCTCACACTTGACCTATGTGACGACTTGAAGATTCAATGAACTGTAAGTGCGCATATCATTGATAATATCAAGTCATCATCTTTTAATGATTTAAGTTGATCGGATCATGGCGGTCACAAGTCATTTGACGACATAATTCCTTCCAAGCATCACAGAACCAACCCAAATCAAAATAGCTTTAATCAGTCATACTACAGACTATAACTCTGATGTGTTTTTAACACTCAACCTGTTATCAAACTCAAACCATACATGTATATTAACACAATTTAGATAATAAGTAAACAAGCAAAAACAATACTTTTATAGAATTCCCAAAATGTCTACAATAATATGAGCAAAAAAATCTATACACATATATGTGAATCACACAATCATGCTAACAAGGACTTGTCTATAATGTCCATTCTACCAACATGGCCAGAAAACGTTTTAGGGGGCAATCCCTTAGTTAGCGGATCCGCTATCATTAAATCAGTACCAATATACTCAATAGACACTTTTTGTTTCCGCACTTCTTCTTTCACTGATAAGTATTTTAAGTCCATATGCTTTGCTCCCTTTGAATACTTATCATTCTTAGAGAAGAAGACGGCTGCAGAATTATCACAGTACATTCTCAGCGGCATTCTATATTATCAACAATACCAAGCCCTAAGACAAAGTTCTGCAGCCACAAAGCATGAATAGTGGCCTCAAAGCATGCCACAAATTCCGCTTCCATGGTAGACGTAGCAATAATGGACTCCTTTCTGCTCTTCCATGAAATCGCACCTCTAGCTAACAAGAAGATGTAGCCAAAGGTTGATTTTCTTGAGTCTACACATCCAGCATAGTCTGAATCTGAGTAGCTAACCACTTCCAGTTGACTAGATCTCCTATAAGTAAGCATGTAGTCCTTGGTGCCTTGTAAATAGCTAAAGACTTTCTTTGCAGCCTTCCATGGTCCATTTCAGGATTACTTTGATATCAGCCTAACATTCCAACAGCAAAACTAATATCAAGCCGAGTGCATGTCTGAGCATACATTAAACTCCCAACCACTGATGCATAGGGAATAGATTCCATTGCTTTATGCTCCAACTCATTCTTGGGACATTGCATTTCACTAAACTTGTCTCCCTTTTGAATTGGAACTACCCTTGATGAGCACTTTTCCATTTTGAATCTCTCTAGTACTTTGTTGATGTAGCCTTTCTGAGACAATCCCAGTAATCTTTGTGATCTATTACGGAATATTTCTATTCCAATCACATAGGAAGCCTCACCCATATCTTTCATCTCAAAGTTCTTAGAGAGAAATTCCTTTACATCATGCAACAGCCCAACATCATTAGTAGCAAGAATAATGTTATCAACATACAGGACTAAAATGATGAACTTACTCCCACTGACCTTCATATAGATACACCATTCAACAGTGTTCTCTACAAAACCGTATGACGTGATGGTATCATTTAACTTAAGATACCATTGTTTGGAAGCTTGTTTCAACCCATATATTGATTTCTTTAACTTATACACCATACTTTCTTTACCTGCGATCAAGAAGCCATCTGGCTGATCCATATAAACTTTCTCTTCCAAGTCACCATTCAGAAAGGCGGTCTTTACATCCATTTGGTAGAGCTCTAAGTCATAATGAGCCACTAAAGCCATAACAATTCTTAAAGAGTCCTTCTTTGAAACTGGAGAAAAAGTCTCTTTATAGTCTATGCCATCCTTTTGAGTGTATCCTTTAACAACAAGTCTAGCCTTGTATCTCTCAACGTTGCCTTTTGAGTCACGTTTGGTCTTAAAGACCCACTTGCAACCGACTCGTTTTGAACCTTCAGGCAACTCAACTAGATCCCATACCTTATTGTCACTCATTGATTTTAACTCTTCTTTCATGGCATTCAACCACTTTTTAGAATTGTAACATTCCATGGCTTGCTTAAATGAGACTGGATCCTCATCAATACTCAAGTCACATTCATGCTCAAGTGAGTAAACAACATAGTCATTCGAAATAGCTGATCTTTTCTGCCTTACAGACCTCCTTAATGCTATCTCTTGTAGTTCACCTTCCTCTTGCTCACTTGTGACTTGCGCATTTTCATCTGGTTCATCCTCTATATGTTGTTCTTGTGGGTTTGGAACATTAATTTGTTGTCTCCTTATGTTGTGTGACCGTGATACAACAAGAGGAACAAAAACTGGAGAAGAGACACTAATTACAAGAGTTTCCACACGTGTCTCTTTAATTTCCACCTTTCATGTTTTACCACTCCCACTAAACTGACCATTTTCAATGAACCTTGCATTTCCATACTCAACTATTCTTATACTATGGTTAGGATAGTAGAATCTGTACCCTTTTGAATTTTCAGGATAGCCGATGAAATAACCACTTATGGTTCTAGCATCAAGCTTCTTTTCATGTGGATTGTACATTCTTACTTCTACTGGACAACCCCAGACATGAAGATGTCTTAAACTGGGTTTCTTTCCTGTCCACAATTCATAAGGAGTCTTTGGAACTGCCTTACTAGGAACTCTATTAAGCATATACGCAGTAGTCTTTAATGCGTACATCCACAAAGACATAGGTACAGAACTGTAACTCAACATACTCCTAACCATTTCCATGATAGTACGATTCCGCCTTTCAGCCACACCATTGTGTTGTGGTGTACCAGGCATATTATACTGTGCACATATGCCTCGACTTTCCAAAAGTTTTGCAAATGGACCTAGACATTGTCCACTTTCATCAGATTATTGAGGGTTTAGAGAGCATTAACCTATGTTGTGAGAGTAATGTAATTCAAGATCTCAACAAGGAAAAGGTAATTTCATAATAGTCATTGCATAATAGAAATTACATAATGGATTAAAGAAAATTCTAACAGTTGGTATCAGAGCTAGGTTGTGAATTTCGTTGATTCTCTATAAGAGATCAGTTCTCCATTAAAGTTTTCCCCAAGTTACATGAACCCTAAGTATTTTATATGATGGATTGACATTATTTTGATGTTGAATAATTGCTTAGGATTCAATAATTGAAAATCCTAAGATTTTGAAAGTTAGAAACATTGGATTTGAATCTGTAATATGAGCAGGGCCATGCATCAGGGAGCAGGGCCACGCATCAGGAACAAACACGACCATGCTTCCACGAAGCACGGCCTTGCATGATGGAAGCACGGCCTTGCATATTGTAAGCACAGTCGTGCATCAATTATAAGCAATACTATGCATCAGGAAGCACGACCATACATCAATTATAAGCACGATCATGCATCAGGAAGCAGGGGCATGCATCAGAAATGAGCATGGCCTTACTTCATCTAAGCACGACCATGCATCAAGTAAAAGCACGGCCGTGCATAGAAATTTTACGGTAGAATAAGGAAAATAATTCATAAAATATATAGATAATTTTAGAATTACATCAAAGTGAATTTTACTCACCAAAGTGATTAAATTCTCAAGTTAATTAATTCTAAATTACATTATCATAATAAGAACTTCACAATTTAGTACTTAATTTTAAGGGTAGCTTGTTAGTCACCAAAGTGGCCTAGCTTTAAAAGTTCTTTAAGCATTTAATTGTGTGTTATAAATTGTTCAAAATTGTTTGATGCTATATGATAACATAAAGGGTGAACAATTTAGCTCATTAATTATAATGCTAGCAGATCACCTAAAGGTGGATCATTGAATATGATTAATGACATTAAGAAGACATGTAAGCACTTCATAATATGTTTGTATATCCAAAGATGACTTGCATATTGGTTTGAGTAACTGGTTGTCAATTAAAGTTGTTTATTAGCATCATTATAGATAAATTGTGTATTTAGGCATTACCCAAAGGTAAACTTAGATGCATAATTGATGACAGTTGATTGTCCGAATCCATTAAGTTTATTCAAAGCATAAATGTTTAAGCATGTGTTAAAGATTCAGTCTCTATGAATACGTATGGCATGAGCAATGGCGTAGTTAAGTTCAATGGGCTTAATTATGATGATCGGGCTGAACAAGTTCGATTCCAGCTAGGTGTTATGGACTTAGACCTAACAATCATTATGGAACAAGAGCCTGCAGCCATCACAGATACCAGTACTGAAGAGGAAAGAACTCTTCGTGAGGCTTGGGAAAGGTCGAATAGGCTGAGCGTAAGCTTGCTGAAGATGACTATGGCTAAAAATGTGAAACCATCAATGCCGAAGACTGAAAATGGTAGGAAATTTATGGCAAAGGTAAAAGAGTATGCACAATCAGACATTACTGACAAGTCCATTATAGGCACCCTGTTGACTGAGCTAGCTACTAAGAAGTTTGATTGGTCACGGCCCATTCATGACCATGTGACTAAAATGATCAATCAAGCGGCAAAGTTGAAATCAATGGGCATGGAGGTAAAGGAATTCTTTCTAGTATAATTCATTTTAAACTCACTCCCTCCTGAGTTTGGTCAGTTCTAGGTGAATTACAACACCATTAAGGATAAATAGAACATACAAGAAATTAAGGCCATACTAGTTCAGGAGGAAGGGAGGCTGAAGAAGGTGAAAGAACACTCCGTCCATCTCGCATTTCATGAAGGGGCTAGTAGTAGCAAGGCTAAGCCAGGTAAGAAGGACAATAAGGACAAGAAGGATAAGGCCTTATTAAAGGTTTGTGAAGGTCGAATCCAGAAGGGCCAGAAGTGCTTCTTCTGCAAGAAGACTGGTCACTTCAAGAAAGATTGTCCGAAGAGAAAGGTTTGGTTCGAAAGGAAAGGTATATATTATGTTTTAGTATGCTTTGAATTAAATCTTATTGAGGTACCTAAAAATACCTGGTGGTTAGATTCTGATGCAACTACTCATGTGTCACATGTAATGCAGGGATTTCTTTCGATCTAGCCCATAAGCGAAACTGAAAAGTTCTTGTACATGGGAAACAGAATGAAGGTACGGATAGAAGGAATAGGGACTTACAGATTGATCTTGCATACTGGTTGCTGCATAGATCTAGAAAAGTGTCTTTATGTTCCTGAATGTGCTAGAAATTAAGTTTCTGTTGCAAAGTTGGACGAATTTGGTTTTAATTTTAAGATTGGAAACGGTACATTTTCTTTGTATAAACACTCGTACTATTTTGGATACATTAATGTTAAATTTGCTAAATCTCTGTTTCATGTTGAGAGTACTATAAGTAGTAATTTGAATATTCGTAATGAATGTTCTGCTTTTTTGTGGCATCAAAGGTTAGGTCACATATCCAAAGAAAGGATGATGAGGTTAATGAAAAGTGAAATTTTACCTCAATTGAATTTTGTTGACTGAGATGTATGTGTGGATTATATTAAAGGAAAACAAACTAAACACACATCAAAGAATTCAGCCACAAGAAGCGGTCAACTCTTAGAGTTGATACACACTAATATTTGTGGCCCGTTTGACATCCCATCTTGGGGTGGTGAAAGATATTTCATTACCTTTATTGATGACTACTTACGTTATTGTTATCTGTATGTGTTGCATGAAAAATCTCAATCAGTGGATGTCTTACAGATATTCATTGATGAGGTGGAAAGGCAACTGGATAGAAAGGTAAAGGTTGTAAGGTCAGATAGAGGTGGTGAATATTATAGAAAATCTGATACTAACTGTTAGAATTTTCTTTAATGCATTATGTAATTTCAATTATGCAATGACTATTATGAAATTACCTTTTTCTTATTGAGATCTTGAATTACGTTGCTCTCACAACACAATATATAGTTCTCACACAATTAAGGGTTTAGAAAGCACTAACCTGAATCTATTGTTCTTTGATGTTACCTCTCTCTTTGATGTCGTTGATTCCTTGGTATTTTTTCCAACTCTTCCTTCCTCTTTCAGCTCATCTCGGATGGTTGAGAGAAAGTTCCTTTATGCGTTTACCGTGAGCTCACTTAGAAACCGTGAAAAGTGAGAAAATAGGGAATGTCGTAACCCTCATTTGGTAACCGCTCTTTAATTTATATGAAGGGAGAGGGGAGGGTTTCCTTATAATTGTATATACAATTATACCCTTAATGACTCTATATTTTATATTTAACCACCATTACATTAAATCATTAATTAGAGTCATGCTATAAGTTACACAGGTCACTATAACAAGATTATTAAAATAATCTAACAATATATATGTACGCAAACACCCCCCAAAAAGAAGGTTTGGTGCATGGCCAAAATGTACAGAGAAGGAAGAGCCAATTATAGAAAGGTAAATGAGCAAACCACAATGAACTAAGTGTGGGAGAAAATGACTTAGAAATTAGCAAGAAACCCTCCAATCGTGGCACTCGGACGTCCACGTGGAGGGAGAAAAGAATTTTATTTTATATATTTTTTTCTTCTTACCTGTTGCTCAAGACAAGTTCTCAAGGTGACACATGTACTTCTAATTAAGGGTCAAGATTGAGTCAACTTAATTTCAAGGCAAAGCAACACATGCTCTTTCTCTCCATGACTCACGTGGCCAAACCCAAAAGATTGCATCCAAATTTTCATTTTCAAGCTTTGGAGAAATTTTTAGGAATTTTTCAACGAATACATGGGTCCAAACAATAGTTTTGAGTCATTTTTTTTTTTCCAATCCCAACTAGTTAGTTCAAACTTACTTAAGGAATTCATACTTTAAGAATTTTTGTAGGCAGATTTGTGCTCAGGAAATAAATTTTGAATTTTCAAGGTTTCTAATTTATTCAAGAAACTTATTAGGATTTTAGTTATTGATTTAGGCTTTCTTGGGTGTTTTGAAAATCTATCCTAATTCAAGAATTCAAATAACAGATCAGTTATTGTCATAAAGATTTAAATATTACATATACATGTATAATTACTAATACGACATTTAATCAAAAGCGAGGTGTGACACCTAAGACCATTTTCCATTCCTTGCTTAACATATTATGTAATTGACACACTTATCACTCTCAATTTAGTATCATTCAAACTACTTCTATAGAAGTTAATTCCTACTCATAGCTGTTACCAGCAACCATTTATTCAAATAGATAACATACAAATGTGAGGGTAAATTTAACCATTTTTAATATATGATCATCATCTTTAAATTTCCTTACCTTCCTTCTCCACAATATTCTTAAAGTTGGGACAAATTCTATATATTTGGACAAGAATATAATTATAAGAAACATGGTTGTACATGATTAGGAAAAATGATTTTGGATCTTGTTTTATGTTAAAATGCCAAAATGTATTTACCTGAGTATCTAATCCATCAGGAAGATTGTTAATGAAAGACTGAGCATCGGAAAGCATCACAGCTTGATTTATTTCTTCAAGTGTTGCATCATCTTTTCCATACAGTATGTTCTCCTTGATGCTTGTAGCAAAAAGTGCAGGCTCTTGATTAACCAGTCCAATTTGTTGTCTAAGCCATTTGAGTTCAAGTTCTCGTATATTGTTCCCATCCAATAATATTTGACCAGAAAGTGGTTCATAAAAACGCTCAATCAAAGATATAACTGTGCTCTTTCCACAACCACTTCCTCCTACAAGGGCTAAAATTTTCCCAGAAGGAATATCCAAACAAAGATTGTTGAAGATAACTACGTCAGGACGAGATGGATAGCTAAAGCAAACATCCATAAATTGGACATGACCTTCCATTGTGCTTAATTTTTTACCACTTTTTGAGCTGATTTTATTCATTGTGTCCCTTTCTATCATCTCAAAAATTGGATAAGCTGCTGCCTTTGCTCGGATAAATGCAGAAATATCTGGTGCTGCCTGCCCAAGTGACCTAAGAAGCAAACATCATACATTATAATTTAGAAAAATTATCTTTACACATGAAATTCAAGTTAACTTTACCATCTCGTACTTTAGCTTGCTTGTGCTACAAGCCTACAACCAATGCATTAAATTAAAGTATTTACATTATATTTTGGGTGAATTTACGATTTGTAGGGTCACGTTATACAATATTCTAAAGAAGGATGATAAAGCAAGGTAATGCAGAATACTGTAATCTATAATCTGGGCTTGAACTGATATAGTATAGTAAAATACTATCACTGAATTTTAATTCTCAACCTACCAAACCCTCAGTAGAAGTGTGTAAAAGAAAATTTTATAATAATTTCATTTATATTCATTAATTTTATATTCAAAAAATTGTAGATTCTTAGTGTTCTTGTTTGGTTTAAGGATTTTGGTTTAAATAACATCCTTTTCTCTGATGAATAGTTTTGATTAATTATTGGATTAAATATATTTTTTATTCCTGTATTTTTATGAATTTTTAATTTTAGTTCCTAATTTTTTTCTATATTCATATAAATTTTTTGTTTTGTCTCTTTCACTAACATCAGTAACTGAGAAACTACTATGGTGTAACTACTATGGTGTCATTCTTTTTTTTACAACTACATAAATGAGAAGGACTAAAAGGAAAAAAAATTAGAAAATGTATGAATTAAAATAAAAAGAAATAAAAAAAACCTAAAAAACTTTATAAAAATATTATGACTAAAAACATACTTGAACTTTAACTATTTTACCGAAAATAAGTTATGTATACCTGCAAATAACTCTACATTTTCCCTATTTATTTAAAAATGATGTGGAATATACGTTTGTCCTTTACTTTCAGGGCGTATTCTACATATATTACATATTTACCATAGGCCAGTCATAACAAGAATGGTGGAGATATTTTTAATGGTTTACGATTATAAAATTCTCGAAAAAGAAAAATTCCAATGAATGACTATTTGTGAATACTATATAGTAATGTTAATCCGTTTGGCAACACTAATTGCTAATCGACAATTAAGAAAACACAAAGCGTTAAATCATGATGAAATAGTTTAGTAAAAATATATCAAAAGGGTAAAAATCTTACAAGCCTGATATCACTACATTGAGCATGGTAGTGAAAGCTTCACCACCGTTGGCAATATTCTTGTGAACAACAATGCTAGTGAACCAAACAAGCAGAGCCCATGATAGGAAAAGGACACAATGCATAGAGCCAAGTCCCAAACCCTTTGCTAAACCCGCGTTTCTACCATTTCTATATGTTTTCATCAAAGCCACTTTGTATGATCTCACGGCTCTTTCTTCTCCTACAAATGCTTGTACCGTTCTCACGTTGCCTATCACCTTATATCCACAAAGCGAGCCATTGGTCATTATACAATATAGACATTGAATGAACTTGCAACTTTGAACATGCATGCTAATGATGTTCACAATAATTATGTACTTGGAATCAGATTAAAAAAATAGTCAATATTTTCAAGTTGTCAAATGTAAGGTATAACATGACAAATAATGTTACCTCTTCAGCAATTTCACCGGCCCTCACGTATGATTTTCGAACTTTTCCAATAAGGCCAATCGTCACGTATGCGTAAAGACCTCCAGCAAGCGCAATCAAGGGTACAATGGCAAGTGTCACCAAACTAATCTGCCACACTCTCACAAAACCAATGGTAAATCCCGCTATAAATCGGCTTATATAGTGCATGAAGTTCCCTACCTGTATATATATATATCAATCAGATATGTAAATATATCGTATATTGAACTAACAATAATATTGGGAAAATAGATGACATTATCTATATATAACACACAAAGAGTTTTGCGTTTAAAACCATATTTTCTTTTTTTATTTTTTAATAATAATTGTAAAATTGTTACCTTATTTTCATGTGAAAACAAAATATCGTAACGTTACTTCTAACTTTTACTAATGGGTTTGCACCCCATTTTTACTTAATACACCACATTTTTCACTCTTTCTCCTAAAATACCCTTAACATATTTAAAGTAGTAAATGTTAACTTCTCTCCTTCTTCCCTTCCTCTTCTTTTTCCACATCTCTTCTTGCCGCCTTTCTCTTGCGCGAGGCTGAGCCATTTTTCAGCATAATCTATCAACATCAACGGTGTAAAACCACTTTGTCGCATAGATAGGGGTTGTTTGGATCTTCTCCTTCTATTGTAATAGTTATAGATAGGATAATGATTCTCTGTATTATATTCGTCACCTATTTGAAGATCACTTCATGTTTTATATTGGTAAGTTTGTTATCACGAATTTTGTGTGCACTCTTAATTTCAAATCACTTCAAGTATATTAATTGTTTTTTTTTAAATATTTATTGTGCAACTACCTGTATAGTTTACATAAAACTTGTTTAAAATAGCTTCAGAAAATATGTTTACGAAATTGTATAAAAATGAATTCTAAAAATTCAATTTCAAAAGTATATTTTACACATTTAAATTGTTTACCTATTTCTATAAATAACTTTTATAATTTATTTTTATCCAATTTTTGAAACATAATTCTAGAATTTTACTTTACATACTTTTAGAATTAAGTTCCAAAAGTCAATTTTATTTAAATTTTCATAATTTAAATTTCAGAAACTACTTTAAACAATTTTCTATTGCTAATTTTATACAAATGTTAGTTCAAAAGTCAAGTTTATGCAAACATTATTTGGAAAGGAATTTTTAATATCACAAATGTACTTTTGAAACAATATTTTACATAAATATATTAATAGGGGTGTGAAAAGAAAAGAAAAAAAATGCAAAAACTTAACCTCCAAAATAAATATATAGCATTATAATGTTTTCTCATGTTTTAGACGAAGAATTCATAGTAGGTTTTTATTTTTATTTTTTTTCTTTCTTCATTAGGCCGTTTAAAAAATAATGAGTATTAGATTTTTATTTTTTTTTTGTTATTTTCTGAATTTTATTTTTATTATATTTTTCTATGGGCCTATAATTTCAGAATTTTATTGAATTTTAAAAAAAATAAAAGAAATTTTATAGCTTTTCTCATGTAATGTTAATTGAGAACTAATTCTAAACTTATGAGTCTTGTTTTTCACTCTTTTACTTGGTCGTAGTTCTATATCCTCGAATCTGTTTGAAAGATCTTTGAGCATGTATATGAAATTTGTTTGTGTTATGAGATCCTTATATCTCTTGAGTTTAATTACATAATTTGGTATCAGTGCAAGGTTTCATGTTAAATTTCTTATGAAATCTTCTTTTAATGTATTCCTTTCATTTGTTTTGTTATCTCTATTCTTATTTCTTTTGTTCTTCTATGTTTTTTTTTTCCCTAGTTCTATGTTTTTTAATTAAAAATGAAAAAAGTAAGAAAAATTAAACCGTAAAAATAAGTAGAGAAAAGAAAAAGAAAAAAAGGGAAAAGAGGTAAAAAAAAAAAATAGAGTAAAAAAAGTAGAAAATAGAATAAAAATGAAAAAAAGAGACAGCAGAAAAAAAAAGTCTTAGATATGCAAAAAAAAAAAAAAAAGTGTCTAATATTATTAAGTTTAGCTTCTTGCTATAATTTAATTTTCGTATCCGTTATCATTATCCTATTGTCTACTTATTTTCTCATCGTTCTATTGTCTACTTGTTTTTCTTTTTCAATTCATATTTTCCTTTCATTCCTTCTTTTGTTTCTTTTCTCTAAGTTTTGGTTACGTTATTTACACTCTTAGTTTGGAAAGAAAATGGATTAGGCTTAGCAAAATGATTTAGAACACAAGAAAAACTAAATATATTCTTAAAACCAATATAAATTTTAGGAGAAAATATAAGAGCTTATTTGATTTCAGGAAATATTTCCTATTTCTAATTTTTATTTTCATTTTTTAGAAAGAGTTTTCATTTTTAAATTTTCAAGATTTTAAAAAAAATGTGTTTGCTTAGACTTTTTTTTCTATTTTTAAAAACAGAAAATATTAAGAATAGGTTGGGTTTAACTATTTTTGATAATAGATTTACTTATTTTTATAAATTTTAAAATTAATCATTAATATTTTATTAATAAAAAAATTTAATAATAAAAAATTTACAATATATATCCTCACTAATGCCAATTTTATTGTACTATTTATTAAACAAATTTAAATACTATCATTATTGTGTCTTAAGACTAAAAGATAGTAAAAACATAATATAAATATAATATAATTTAGAATCTGTGCATTGTTAATCTTGTATCTGTTTATTAACTTTAATAAAAATAGGTTTAAAAAATTAAAAAGTGTATATTCTTTTCAAAGTAAAATTTTTTGTCAACATTGTTCAATAAAAAATAAAAATAAAAATATGAGAGAAAAGAAAGAAGGAAAAGAAGGTGCATATGAAACAAATATGAAGAAGTAAAAGGAGAAAAAAGAAAAAAAGAATTACCTACGACAAGCAACATTTGAGAGAAAAAAATAAATAGAAGTGCGCATTATTTGAGTGAAAAAGACAAAGTGTGAAGTGAAGCATGAGTCAATAAATAAACAAAATCTAATTAAAATTGGATGATATTTACAATGATGTCACAACATTTTAATTCTTTTCATTTTCAAGTTTTCTCATTTTAAAAGAAAAGGTTGAAAATAATTTTTTTTTCATTTTTAAATTTGGGTTGGATTTTGAAAATGATTTCAAAAAAATATTTTCTAAAATCCAACCAAACATATTTTATGTTCTATTTTATATTTTCATTGAAAATAAAAATAGAAAATGAGCAAACCAAATAAAGTCTAAGTATTTGTAAAAATTTAAATTTGTTGATGTTAACTTAAAACTTAGTATTTTTAATCTTTTCACCTTATAAATGTGGTTGAAAATTTTAGAAACTTCATAACATAATTCTTTCAAATTTTTTAAGCTCACAAAAGTATAACACTCAGGTTTAAATTTTTTATACTAATTAGGGGTATTCATGGATTAGATTTTCAAAAAACCAATCTAAATCCATTTAAAATCCAATTATATGGATTGAATTATATACCAATCTATTTTAATTTTTCTAAAATCGGTTTAAATTTGATTTTAAAATTTGAATTTGGTTTAAAATTGGTTTTAAACCGTTTTTACATATGGTAAAAATATACCATAATTATTTTTTAATTATTATTAAATTATTATATTAAAATATTTAAATAAATAATATAACATTATATATATATATATATTTGTTAAGCATCAACATTTATCAAAGATAAAATATAAATATAAATAGTACTCTAACCCATTACATTAACAATACATGTTAAGAGAGTATTTGCATATATTTTAATTTCTTAATAGTATTTTTTAATTTTATATTTTATTAAAATAATAAATATTTAGATATATTGTACTTTATATCATCTATCTATCACATAAATTAATTATATGAGTTAAATTTTAAACTATTTTATTTTATTTTTTTAATCGGTTCAAAAATAGTTTTGAAATTTAAATTTAGTTTAAAATTAGTTTTAAATTTAGTTTTTGTTGAAACTAGTTTTAAATTTGGTTTTACGTTGAATTAGTTTTAAATCTAATTTTAAATTTAATTTTTAACGCAAAATTAATTTTCAATATATTTGTGAATCATATTTTTAAGGTAAAACTAATTTATTGTACAAATGTTACATTAAAATAGTTCATTTCAAAAATATTTTAACAATATTTATTAATATATTATATTTTATAGAAGTATATAAAATATTTATTATTATTTTTAACTTATTTTTAATAAATGGAGTTTATAATAAAAATTTAAATTAAAACCTATAAAAATAAAAATTAATAATATAAATAATAATAAAATTTTTATGTTATAATATTTTAAAAAATAAAAAATAAACATAAATATAAAAATAACAGTAGTAATTAATTTAAAAATATTTGTTATATTTTAATATTTTTAAATATTTTAATTATAAGAATTAAGATTAATAAAAAATAGTAGTAGTAAAATATAGTTACAATGAAATTTTGTAAATTAATATAACGCCAAAATTTAGTAAATAAAGATATAAGGTTGTTTCATACATATGGATTTGGATAACTAAAAATAAATCTGATTTTAGAAAATAGATTTAGACACTAAACTAGTTATACAAATATAGTTAATAAAAAAACTGGTTTAATATAGATCTAGATTTTTAAAACCAATTTAACATTGATTATGGATTAGATTTATGAAATTGAATTTTTTGACCACCCCTAATACTAACTTAAATTATCTACTCCATTTTGATTAAGACCATTAGATATACTGAAAGATACCTTCTTTTATGGTCTTCCTTGCCGTGAGAGAGGTGTAAGGTTATTAAGAAGGGAAACCATCATATGGTGGGATGGAAGAAAAAGAATTTGTCTCTTATAAGGACAATGTTTTGACTAATACGAACATGCACACACCAAAGGAACATATAGATCTTTTTCAAAAGAAGCTAGCTCAGGTGGAACTAGTCAATGAAAGTCGCCTCTTTCTAAAGCTACACTTAGAACCTGCTATGTTACAAGAATTGTGTAAGGCTTGGGAGAAACTGTGGCACTTGAAATTGTTAGGGAAGAAGGTAAGGTATAATGTTTTGAAGGAGCGTTTGAAACATATGTGCAAAACTCATTAGAGGATTTGATTTATTAAACATTGACAATGGTTTTTATATGGCCATGTTTGATATCCCCATAGATAGAGAAAAAGTTAAGATAGAAAGTTCATGGATAA